AGTTCCATCCTCACAGAGTGCTCCATACTTTCGGCCTTGTGCCGCATCGAAGCTACGCTTAGAAAATGAATATGTTCAGTCAATGGTATTCTCAGCATCCTTCTGCAAAGTCACATCTCTGTTGATTCAACTCTCTTCATTATCCATGAGGCAATTATCTGGCTTTGCCTGTCATGTAAGAGATTAATATTACATAAGTGTCCGCGCTCTTTTTCTTTGTATTTAACGAAAATTTTCTATTTGTGCTTAGATTTTGGAATGTATCTTTCTTTGTTTAAATGCATCTTCGGATTTCGGCCTCACATTTTGCACAAACTGATTAAACACTCCCTAGATATTAAAGCTTCTATATTTTTTTTTTTGACGTCTCGAATTCCTAGCTCTTCTTGGACTTTTTCTCTTAACAAATTTACATTCTGTCTTACAATGCATGATTAATCCTTTCTTCACCGTTTACTTTACCACCAATTCTAAAAGGATCTGCACTTTTTTTTCTCATCGGTGTCATCTGAAAGATTTCTTATTAAGAATACTGGTAGAATTTTTTGGGTCTATTTATTTTATATGTAGTGTTGTGCTTATTAATCTTGAAAGAAAAGCTTTGGCCTGCTTTGTTCTTGCACAACATATCCTGTGTTTTATTTCCATATTTCCTATGGAAATGGTGATGTACAGGTGGTGTAATCGATAGCAGTTCAGAAGGAATACTTGCGCGCATATAACTATGTAAAAGACATGAATACATTATCTCTCTTCAACTAGAAGGTAAAGGGTAGGATTTCTATTTGGAAAAAATCATTGTTGTCGTAACAAATTGTTAATGCAATATTCACTTGTTTTTGTTTCTTTTTAAGCAATTCACCCTGAGCAAGGCGGAAGTGATACAAGCACGAAAGGGATGACAGAGGATTGAGAACAAAAGTAAAGAGGCGTGTTTGAGGAAAGAATAGAGAGAAGGACGTAAGCAAATAAGAGGAAGAGAGTTCCACAGTCGGGAAGTGCGAGAGAAGAAACTGTTTGAGAAGAAGAGGTGGTTACATTTAACTGTTTTGACAGTGAAAGTGTGGGACCGAGATGCCAGCCTGGTACCTCGCTTAAATACATGCAGTCTGGGAACCAGCAAAAGTAGCTCATCGGAACAGTTGCCGTGAAAATACTTGAAGAAGAGCCAGAGGGAAACCAAGGCTCGTCTGTGGGAAAGCGATTGTAAACTAGATGCCAGATCAGGACCGATCACATTGTATTTTCTTCTCTGGATTTTGTCGACGACCTCGAGGCATACAACGGGAGCACAAGTCCATACATGACAGCAATATTCCATGCAAGAACGGATGGTTGATTCATAGATTTGAAGGATGGACTCAGACGAGAGAAAAAAATTTCTGGCACGACACAGAGAACCAACTTTCCTTGCGGTAGATGAAGCTATTGATGCAATATTTTTTTTTAAGCATTTCACTCCAAGCAAGGCGGGAAGCCACTAGGACGCAGGGGGTTACAGAAAATTTAGAGCAAGATCAGATAGGAGTGATAGAAGAAAGGATGAGGGTAGTGGATAGATCAAGGCAACTGGAGATGTCGATTGACATTACACTTGAATAGCTGGAGATTATAGCTCACAGGGAAACAGGAAAAGGGAACAGAGTTCCACAGGCGAGAGATGCGAGACATGAAGCTATTAGAGTAGAAGAGACGGCTACATTTAGGAGTTTCGACAGTGAAGGGGTGAGAGCGGGATGCCAGCTTCGTAAGGCGCTGGAACTCATGACGTCTGGGAACCAGCGAATGGAGCTCCTCGGAGTAATTTCCATGAAAGTATTTGTAGAACAGACAGAGGGAGGCGACGGCGCGTCTGTGAGAAAGTGACTGTAGACGAGACGCCAGGGCAGGGCCAACCACATTTCATATCCGCCTCTGGAGCCTATCAAGAACCCCGAGGCAAACAGAAGGGGCACCAGACCATATATGGCAGCAATACTCTATGCAAGGGCGAATTGTTGATTTGTAGATCTGGAGGATCGACTCCGGGGAGAAAAACTTCCTGGCGCGGCTCAGGGAGCCGACTTTCCTTGCAGTGGACGAGGCAATTGACTAAATGTATTTATTCCATCTCAGGTCAGCAGTCAACCTTTTATTCCAACTTATATCAGTGGACAGCGTGGGACCTATCGGGCGTAACGAGGCGCTCTTGAGGAGTTGGGAATCAGCCATTCTGATGGGAGACAGGGAGTGTTCTTTGTGGTGGGTAAAGGAGAGCAGTTTCGTTTTGGAGGCATTAGAAAAGAAATATGCTTACAATACAAAATATAATTATCAATTTTACAGTTGAAATCGTTAGATGTAACCATAATTTCTGCGCTAACAATTTCTTCTCCCCCACTTCTCGCTTGTGGAACACTCTTTCGGCTTTTGGTTTTCCAGTGTCTAGAGAAATGTTGGCATTTCACAATCTATTTGTGACGTGAAAAGTCTACCTCGTTTTCTCCCGGTTATTTCCTTTTCAGTCAAATTCGATCTTCAAAAATTTAAATACAACTTCAATCGTTACCTTCTGTCTGCTTTTTCCTCTTCTTTTATGGTTCACTCTCGTAAATATGTTTTCTTTTGTGCATATTGTCCCACACTCTGTAACTGTTTGCGTCTTAATGCCTTTTTTGCCTTGCTTGGAGGGAAATTTTTAAAAGAAGCATACATATTTGGCTCAGAGCAGTTTTTCAGATAATTGGTCTTCACAAGTCCGTTAACTTTTATCGATCTTTTTAATAATGAAATTTTAATTCCAAACTTTTTTTCGGTAGTGTGGAATTGCATCATCTTGATTATATCATCGCTTTCCCTTTTAGTTAAATATACTACCTATTCTTGTTTCTGTGGTTGTTTGAAGAACTCAAGTTTTAAGTATTTGTAGTTTTGTAGCTCCAGTAATGAAAAATTTCAGATAATTTATTCGCTTGAAGCCATTTTTAATCATTGCTCTAGGAAAACACTGGTTTATAGAAGGTAGTTTAGACATTTCCAAACAAGGCTTACATCTATATAAGAGAATAGATGTGATGGGGCTATTTATGAAAATGGTTCATATTTTTAAGTTATTATTTTGGCTTTGTAGCATCTTACGGCGTTATCGGGGGTGGTGGGATACTCTTAGTGCAATTAATCCTGTGTTCCATTTTCTTAATTCCATTGGTCATAATAATTTTCCGAATAACAAGTTTCCTTAAAAAGAAATGTTCGACATTCATTAGCTGAAAATTTAGCATTACTGTCAACTGGAAACCATATTTTTCCCTGAAAATATATTTTTTCAAGTAGGATTCCCAAGTTCCACAATCATCATGAATCTTTCTAATCTTTATGGTTGCTTCCTTCTCAACCTTTTGTTTAAGTGGTATAAGGAATAAACTGTCGCTGCTGACACTTGAGTTTGAACATAGATTGCCAGTGAGCAAACGCAGGCGATCCCTTTATTGAATTAAGTAGACCACGTGAACATGGAAGAAACACATATATGTAGGAAGTAGTTGACCACTAATGATTGTTATTTCTACTCTATCCTCTATACTATACGAATTACTATTTTTTCTACCTATACTATACTAATTACTATTTCTACTCTATCCTTATTACGAATTACTATTTTTACTCTATACTATACGAATTACTATTTCTACTCTATCCTCTATATTATACGAATTACTATTTTTACTCTATACTATACGAATTACTATTTCTACTCTATCCTCTATACTATACAGACCGCTATTCTCTACTCTATTTACTATACTATTCCTCTATTCGGATCACTATACGGATTACTGTTTGAGTCAGTATTATCGAGCAAGTACTATTAGTGCGAGTAATATTCGAAGGCTTTTGATACCAGTATTGTTCAACGGCGTTACTATAGTTGTAACTACGATTACAAAGTCTCTACTACATCGAGCATTACAAAAGTGTCAAATGACAGTTCGTTTACATCACAAACCTAAGATAATGAGGAAAATCAACATGTTCATTATGCCATTATTTTTTTATCGAGTTAAATGTGCTATGCGTTTTAATTATTACTGCTGTTGGAAACCTTAAAAAACAAACTTATACATTCACCTAGATATTCTAATTATTTGAAGTTGTGTTGGTCAAACTCTCTGCTTCCGAACAGAGAGGATTCCTAGATGAGACTATGTGAAGGGCAGAGTTTCGTCTCGGGAAATAGCTACCCGACCCCGTTTTATACGGGGTCTACGCAGAATTTTTGGCCGAGCCTTCGGGGTCGGATACCCCACATTAATTTCGACTGTCTGCCTCATCTGATCACGTGGGGTGGTTGGTAGATATCCTGCAGTTGGAGATTCATTGTGGAAAACACTTGAGTCACTTCTAGCAGTTGACTACTTCTAGTTAACTACTCTTTCTATGAGCCGCTGGCTAATCTTATATGCGTTGTTCTTGTCCTAAGTATTATCGTTCATTACCAACCGTCGTTTGATTATTCTCTCCAGTAACCTTCCCTATGCCATAACAGTTAACGAGCCTGAAAACCCAAGATGCGAGCTACGCATTGGAAATGTCAAAAAATTACACGTTCAGAAATTTCTATCTTAAAAACACATATTTTGTTTTTATAAATAGTTATTTAAATCTTTCTTGTTTGGCGATGCATGTAAAAATATTTTACAGTTTCCAATGCTTGGATGGTATGGCTTGAGAATGGATTTAGCAAACCATAACCCACCTACTCTCTGTTAAACTCCGTGACATGCCATCATCAATATCTTTTCCCTAATTTTTCATTTGTGCCAAATACATTCAAGCAGTTCAGTCTGAATTTGAACTCGATTCGCTGGTTCCGTTTTTTCACTTGTAACTATTACAACAGTAGAATATGGAGAGAGAATGATATACAGTACTATTTTCATTATTCCGTCTTATAATATACGTACATATCAAGTCTCTTAATGCATTACTTGCATTATTGAGTATATTTTAGAGCTGAGGGCTTTCGGCCGTATCAGGTTGAAACACGGATTCTCGTACGATCACCAAAGTTAAACAACCTCGAGCATGGTTACTACCTAAATGGATGAGCGCTTGGGAATGTCACGAGCTGTGGGCTTAGAGGTGCGGGTGGTTTAATGCATAACGGCTCGGAATTGGAGATCGAACAGCCTAGTTCCAATTCTAGTCGGATATATTATATTCACTTACACCAGATACCTTTATTGCAAGCTATAAATCCACCTTTTCTCCTCCTAGCTATGGGTTAATTAACAGAATTTCTAGCAGAAAATCATTATTATCTCTAAATTCTTACAGCCTAAAAATATGTATAGCTTTTATATTGAATAGGCAACGCCGAATATAATCTTTATAAGTTTTATTCTGCTAAATTGAACTGTTAGTAATTAGACAGCTTTTATGCAGAGTGGTTAGTATTTAAAATAGTTAGCTCGGAAGAGTTCGTTATTATCACTACTTTAAATAACCAGCAAAGGGTTGATAAGCCATACAGAAATCAATCATTTAGAGTTCAGATTCACAAACACTAGTAGTGGTTTGTTATACAAAGATCTTTTTTGAAACATAAATACAATTGGAGCTTTAGACGATTTATTTTCTTCAGAAAAATTGTCGAATGTTTTTGTGTCTCTTAGAACTTTCTTCGGGCGGAAATCATAGCATGATTTCATTTTGAAGTAGACAAATATTCATTGTCGTTTCGGAAAAAAAATACACTTTCCGCTTGCAAACAGAAGAAAATGGCCTATTGAACTTAAAACTTTGCATAAAGAGATAGTAACATATTTTTGTTTTTTTTTTCTCTCTTACTTTGGTATTTACGCATGATGTAGAAGCATTCAGTGCAAAAGAAGAATAAAGTGGCTGTTAATAGAAGATTTAATTAACTTTCAAAAAAAAAAAAAGAAAAAGAGAAAGAATTTGAAAAGAGCAGAATTTGGATGTTGACAGATATGAATGAGCTGACATATATATTGTATATGCATCTCTCTCTCTCTATGTGTGTGTGTGTGTGCGCGCTTTGAATGTGCGTGTGTGTATGCGCGTTTGAATGTGCGTGTGTGTGCGCGTGTTTGAATGTGTGAAATGATTGCAAAAGATATAAGTGGGCTTTGACGGAGAACCAGACTTAGATGATTGGAAAATGATTGCGAATGAAAAAAAAAGAAAGAAAGAATGTGAAGGTTTTTGAAGAACGGGAGAAAGAAATGCGAAATTAAAATGAAAGTGAAAATTTAATCAAATTCTTAGATAATTATTTGCAATTTTCTTCTGTATGTCTGAAGTACATAGCGACAACAATAAATGAAAACAGATTCCCATACGAGGAATATTTAAATAATAAAAAAATGAAATAAAGATCGAAAGAAAAGACTAAAATATTAAATATATAAAAGAAAAAGTTTATAAAGCAATTAATTTGTAGTTTTATATTCAGATGTTATTATTTTTCAAAAACAAAAAAATGAAAAACAACGACGATTCTGTTCGGAAATTCTATTTTGTCAATATTTTCGTCTGCTTTATAGAATTCTGACTAAAATACATTAATCTGTACATAAGGAATTGTTTAGAAATTTCGCAAAGGAAGAACGTAAAACAGACTCATTGTCGAAAACAGAGTTTCGGAACAATATTTCGAAATAATTTACTGTCGCTGTAAATTACTCTCTCTATCCTATTTTTCATCTCTCAGTTGCGTCTCTGTCATTGGGCAGAGTGCGCTCAGCGGCGGCTCCTGCAACTGAGGAAAATTATACTGAAAGGTGCCGGCCCTCAGGAACAGCTGCCCGAGCCCGCGCCTTCTAGAGAGAGGAATCGGTACTTGCACCATGGCCAGCGCAACTGACTGTTTGGTGGATTTCAGGCAACTGTTAAACAAGGTGTTATATATATATATATATATATATATATATATATATATATATATTTTTTTTTTTTTTTCTTAACCAGATTAAATATTAGGATTTGCTTGGATGTCTCTTCCGTATTATACAACTTCAACGTCCACGTAGACTTTAGAAAATAAGTTGACTGCTTGGGAGATTTTGTTCCTAGCCCGGGTGTACGCACTCGGACTCCCCACATTAAACCTACCTTGTGTCACAATCTGAGCTCGTGGGAGGTTGAGTAAATACAAATTTACTGTCGGTGTTTTGCCATGAGTTATTAATGTATTATGAATAGAATATTTTAAAAACATATATTAGTTTTCAAGCATATCATCAAATCGGACAACTGTTAAACAAGGTGTTTATATATATATATATATATATATATATATATATATATATATATATATATATATATATTTTTAACAAGATTAAGCATTAGGATTTGCCTGGATATCTCTTCCTTATTATACAACTTCAACGTCGACCTAGACTATAGAAAATAAGTTAAATATAAAGATTTTCATTAAAGGGCTTACAAATAGATTAAAAACAAAAATCTATTCGCCTGAGCGCAAGGTATCAACAATGTGCAGTTGAAATATGTAGATGCAACCGTAAGTTCTATGCTAACAGTTTCTTTTCTTGCATTTCTTAGCTTGTGAAACATTATTTTGGCTCTATGCTTTCCAGTCAACTTTGATTTAAATGCAATGTCTTCTTGTTCACCCTTGTATTGTTCTCGCTCGTTAATAATGTTTTCTGTTTTCTAATTCTGTCACACCCAGTGATCCCGTGTGTCTTAGTGGCTTTCCTGCCTTGTTTGGTATGAATTCAATTAAAAATGGGTGCAATGATTTAATTTCCTGAAGGCTAGCCTCAGCCATTCTGATGAAAAGTAAAATATGTTCTGTATGACGATTAAAAGTGAGCAGTTCCATTTTAGAGTTAAAAGTAACAAGCCGTTTCTTGTCCCAGTTAATAACAGACTCAAGGACATTTTTGAGATCTGCTGCAGATCTGATTTTATCGAACCTATCAGAAAATGCGATGATATAGAAGATACGAGAATAAGGGCAAATATCACTGTGCCCAAACTTCTATGCCCTAGAACAGGTAAATAACTTCTATGCCCTAGAACAGGTAAATAACTTCTATGCCCTAGAACAGGTAAATAACTTCTATGCCCTAGAACAGGTAAATAACTTTGAAATGATCAAAGCTTCAGGGAACTTAGGACGAGTCACGTCACGAGCCAACTGCTGGTACACGCTAATTTAATGATGAGTCTATACAGATGGCGTCTTTTTTGTCCTCTTTTTTATATTGTAGCGTACCAATCGATGTTATACTTACGAATCCCATATGACAGCTCCCAGAAGTACGGATCTGCGATGTACGTCATTCCTGATCTGCGTTTGGGCTGACCGATTTTAAGATTTACAAGGCCTTAACACTGAATTTGTATGACACTAAAAACCTCCCTGCCTGCTAGTGGAAACTGTCGACATAAATTTCTGTAATTCTCTTTTCTCTGTTTAGTCATGCGTAATGGGGAATTGCTGATTCCACTGGTATATTGGATAATCAACGCACCAGCAGAAGTAAACTTTACAGGAATGAAAGCATGTTCCATTTTATTAGGCTGTTCGGAAAATAATGTCTGATTTAAGCATAAGAATTATGAATTTGCTGTAATATATTAGATTGTTCGTAAAATATTATCTGATTTTAGAATAAGACTTTTAACCGTGTTTTATTATATATTATTTTTTAGGAAAATAATGCCCAATTTTAGAATTAATGTTTTAATTTTTTCTATGTATGGTTTTTCGGAAAATAATGTCAGACTTTAGAATAAATCTTTTAATTTTGTTCTAATATTTTTGTTCTAATATATTAGGTTCTTCGGAAAATAATATCCGTTTTTAGGATAGATCTTTTAATTTGTTTTAATATATTATAATATCCGCAAAAATATATTACTAATTCCTTATGATTAAAGTAACTTCTTAGATTGTTGGGAAAATAATCTCCGATTTTAGAATAAATATTTATGAGGTTGTTCGGAGAATTGTGTCCGGAATCAGAATAAACCTTTTGTGTTGTAATATATTAGGCTGTTCGGAAAATAACGTCCGTTTTTAGAATATTTTAAAAATATTTTGTTGTATTACATTGAGTTGTTCGAAAAATAATGACCGATTTTAGAAAAAAAAAATTTTTCTAGTATGTTATTATAATAGTTGCGCAAAAATATATTACTCATTTCTTATGATTAAAGTAATCTCTTTGTTAATTTTTTATGAATCCCTTTCTAGAATTCAATTTAAAACATTATATAACCATCAACTTAAATATGAAAAAAGAAGTGATGCGTTAATTTTTTCGCACGAGTACAAAATTGATCATAGTTTTTTTTTTTTCCAAAGTGCTGTCAATATTAAAAGTAAACGGTTTAAAGGATCGATTTGTGATCGGAGAGTAGGGTGCCAGTTTCTGAAATTCCGTTGTGGGAATACGAACCTTGAAGTTCGAGGTGTTAGAGGACGTCAATCTGCAATTGACAATCAATATCTGAAAACACTATTTGAACAAATATTACGTCAAACTGTCAGAGAAATTTCTCCGATATGAGGTATTAGCATTTCAACAATATCAGATCATCTCAAGAAAATTGACAAGGTGAACTCGATAAATGTGTTCCACTATTTACATCATTCTGACTATTGACCCCATCTTTGTCGCCATATTTATCACAGCGTTTCAGCCGTTGTACGCTACGGCCTTCTTCAGGTGGTTGGAATGTCGAACTGAACCCTTTATTTCGTTCGCTGGGGTAGACTGTTCGTTCCACTTGCCATGTCTAGTGGATGTCAGTTATCTGTTATCTCCTGTTAATTCCATTCTCCAAGTTCTCCACCGCCTTAACCAGGTATTGAACTCACACTTTTTGAGTTCTCTCATTGGATCTAACTAACGCCTTTATCCAATGTGCCACGTGTCCCTGAGGATTGTCCCTGAAATTATTCATACAGAAGATTATGGTGATTGTCTGATAGTACGCCATTAGAGCATTTTGTAATCTAACAAAGCGTCACTGCCAAACTTTACTGCCTGCAACTTGATGAAATGCGCATTCAGTTAAGCAAAATGCAACCAGCACTGGTTAATCGACGAGGTCTAATTCTATTTTATAAA